CTGCAATCAGGGGATTAAGCATATGCTGGAAAAGACATTATTTATTTATTTATTTTATTTTTTAATTTTTATTTATTTATTTTTCGGTACGCAGGCCTCTCACTGTTGTGGCCTCTCCCGTTGCGGAGCGCAGGCTCAGCGGCCACGGCTCACAGGCCCAGCCGCTCCGCGGCACGTGGGATCCTCCCGGACCGGGGCACGAACCCGTGTCCCCCGCATCGGCAGGCAGACTCTCAACCACTGCGCCACCAGGGAAGCCCTGTGGTTTTGTTTTGCACGTCCCTAATCACTAATGATGTTGACTGATTTCCTTTAAAAAAACAAAAATTTCCTCTTGATTTTGACTCCCTATTACTCTCCCAGCCTCTTTCACTCCTATCCAACCACATTGCCCTCCTCCTGCTCCTTGAAGTTGCCGCCCATACCTGACTCAGGACCTCTGCATGTGCTGTTTGCTCTGCTTGGAAGGCTCTCCCTCCCTCACCTCCTCATGTTTACTCAAATGTCGTGCTCTCATGGGACCTCCCCTGCACACCCTCCTGGGCACTGCCTGCCCACATTTCTTGCTGCCTTATTTTTCTTCTTAGTTGGTAACACTACCTAACATAACTGTCTATGTTGCTGCTTAACCTAGTCATCTAGTTATTTGTCTGGTTGTCTAGTTATTTGTCTCTCCTCAACAGAATGTGAACTCCACCAGGGCAGGGCTTTGGATCTGTCTCGGTCACAGCTAGATCCCCACAGCGTGGCACAAAATAGCTTCTCAATAAGCGATGTTGCCTGTGGGGCTCAGCGCCCTGTCAAAAGCTCACTGTTTCTGCTCCATCTGCACTGTCCTGGGAGATCCTATCCACTCCCACGATTTCCCTAGCCACCTCTTTGCTGGCCTCTCTCCCCATCTCTCTCCAATGCTGCCCTGTCTAGTGCTCCCACCTGCTCCCTGGACAGTTCCCCTGCAAATCCTACAAGCCCCCTCACACTCAGCTACTCCCAGACTGACATCAGACTGACAGCAGCAGCATCTTGCTCTTCTGTACTCCCATCTCGAGGCTCCCCTGCCCATCACCCAGGCACAGCCCTGGATATCACTCTCACCTCTTTACCTCAGAATGCCCCTCCATGTCCCAACAGCCACCAAAATATCCCTGGAATCCATCTACTTTTTCCCAGCCCACATCCTCCTCCAGAGGCAGCCCCCATTCTCTCTTACCTGGACCCCAAGCCCCAGCCTCCTTCCTAGGGCCTGACTTCCCCAAGACATCCAAGAGACTCTTTTTTTTTTTTTTTTTTTTTTTCTTTGTACACCG